TATAATTGATCTTATTACAGTGAGCACAAGTCTTCAGTATGTAACAGAGGAATCTGCTAACTACTTTTATACTAAAGCAGGGCAGCCTAAGACTTTGACAATCACAAGCTTACAACATTCACTCTGAAATGAAAGATACAGGAAACATCTGAGATGACAGCAGCCAAAGGCCATGCTGTGAAACTGAGCCATTCCTACCAATTTGTGTCTCCAGCACACTATTAAACAAAAACCAAAAAGAAACCTTAAAAAGAGGTGACCATTGAAGCTACAGGCCATACGTAAGAAATTACACTAATGACAGCACCACTGCAATATCATCTTCTACAAATGGCTGTAATCATTTCTGTAGTGACTAACTGCAGTGCATATTCAGTATAACCTCACTTAAAGCAGAAAAGGGGACAGTTCACTTTGATATCAGCTATGGAATTTTGTGACACAGGACTTAATTTTTGTTCTTCCAGAAATCTTATTCTATGACTTCCTCACTTCTGCACTCTCCTCAGGACCCTCATCCTTCTCTGATAGCACTATCTCTCACTAGCTGTTGCCTCACTAGTCAGCCTACAATTGTGCAGCTGAGAATTACCAAATCTTGGGAAGACCTTAGAATGGATGGGATAATATTGTTAACTTAAACTTATCATCAGTGCCTGGATGTATGACAGCAAGTTGGTCTATATGAATTTTGGAACCTTGTGATGAAAAATCCTATATAGTATTATTTTATATGAGTGATCACTTCAACTGTCCTCTGTCCCACTGTTAAAATGCAGCACAGCAAAACTGAAGGATATATCTCTTTTCCAGTCCTGAGGTATACTAAAAGTGTGCTGCACAGCAGAATCATATTGAATATCCATATAAGAGAGGATGTAATTTTTTTTAAGCAAAGTGCACATTTCTTTGCATTAAGTGTGTGCATCTGCACAATGCTAATTCATCTCAGAAACAGGATCCATAAACAGCTTGTAAAAGATCCATCTTTAATCTATGCCTGTTTGCAGGACAAGGCATATCACAAACAACTGTTTCAGTCTTATTTCTGATTCTTGAATAGAGTAGTTCTGTGCAACAGACATGTGGTACTAAAAGCGCTCAGGAGAAACTTCTTTCACATGCTCTAATAAAGACCTGCCTTCAAGCAGATCTCAAGTTATAAAAAACAAAGACAGGCACCTGGACCATGACACAAAAGATCCATCAGGAGACAGCAATAACTTTGTTAAGTTCTGCATGGTAGCCAGAAGAAGAGTGTGGTGGTCTCCTTTTCTGGAGGTTTTTAAGAGGGTAGCTGGCCATCTGTCAGGGGATGCTTTGATTGTGCCTTCCTACATGGCAGGGGGTTGGACTCAATGGTTCTTGTGGTTTCGTCTAACTCTATGATTCTGGAAAGAGATGAAGAAAACAGAAAAATCTAAAAATTAAGCCAGATGTTGTGGCCATAAGATCAGATCTCAAGTCCACAACATCTGTCCTAACTTTTAGATCCTGTTACCTTTTGCAATCCTCTGCTTTTTGCACCTTCTAGCCTAAACAGTCCAAATAATTCAAAAGCTTTCTCAAACCATAATATTCTAGTTATTTTAATATTTTAGTAATATTCTAATTATTCTAGTTATTTTTTCATATGTACTACTAAAACTTCACATGATACCATTTTCTTTCATTTATTTCATTTATACTACCATGCTCCATTCATAATCTCACTCTTTTACTCTGCATGCAATAAACTGGATGATCCTGGAGCAATATTTATAATTACCATAATAGACTTTTAATCCCTACATTACCTTACATATGTACTGAAAGCCTGTCAAAATCAAGCTTTTCATCATTGTTTCACCACTTTTGGCATCACCATTTGATTAATGGGTATTCAAATGCAGTTAACTACTGATTTTCACTCTCTGATTCTGCTCTAGTAGTACTTTCAATACTGTGAACTCATCTTCACTGTTGCCATCATTTCGACTTTGGTGTTCATACCACTAGCTGGAGCCAGGTCTCCTTTTTGTCTTTGGAAAAAAAAGTTACATTCTTATTCTTCTCCTAAGCCACTGCTTCAAGAGTAAATTCATGTCATCTCTTCCTAAATCCTTCAACCACTTCCCCTCTCTATTGCTGCCCCAGCATGAGACCAATATGCAGCTCATCAACTTGTGCTTACGTTAAACTTTTACCACCAGATCAGGGCAAAGGTATCCTAGTGCATGCTCATTCAACAAAAAACTTTGCTTGCCAGCACTTGTTGCCTATAGACCACCCTAGACCAGCACTTATGGATTTTGACCCAGCCTCAGCAATAAACACCTGCTTCCATCAAGGAGCTATGAATCTAACATGAGTAGACCAGTAGTGTTAGTTGATTTCCATCCAGTTCTATCCTAACTTACCCATTTTTGACTGTGCCTTACTCTGGTTCCTGCTTCCAAGAGGGGGACAGTCACAACTCTACACCTGATTTCAAGCAATAAACAGGTACAATGATAACAATTATGGAGATTCTTTCATTCATATCCTGCCTTTCCCCCTATACTAGGACTCAAAGCAGTTTACAAATATATAAAACAAATAGATTAAAAACTTGCAAAATATTATAGAAGTTATTTTTAAAATGCAATTCATCTATTAAAATTACACATTTAAAAATTTATTAAAAGATGGAAGGTAAAAATCAGCAAAACAGCACAACATTAATAGCCTTTGCAGTTGATTCACAGAAGCCTAGAAGAATAGAACAGAACAGGAGGGAACCATACTAGCTTCCTTGGGTCAAAGCCTAGAAATAGCCAAGAAGGTCCTCTCCCACCCCACCCCCATGTACCAAGGAAGGTGGGAGATTTAGACTCAGTATTACAAAAGGCCTCTTTGTAATATTCAGGACCAACTCCAGGTTTCTGTGAGCCCATGAGCAACAGAAGAAAATTGGGTTATCTCCTACACAATCCTTTCAGCATCACCTATTCATCCAATGACTGCACCCTTTCCTTCTTTGACTCTGTTAAAAATTAAAATTCTTTTCCAGGATTATTTTATTTGAACCTCTGATGCAAACCCCTGTTCTCGACACTGTATTCCGCATCACCATGTACAGATGTGAGAGCTGGATAACAAAGAAAGCCAATAGAATATCAGCTCATCTGAGATGTGGTGCTGGAGAAGAGTGCTGAAAATACTAGAACATATTAAACCCAAGCTCTCCCTGGAAGCCAGGTTGACTAAATTGAGGTTGTCAAACTTTGGCTACATCAGATGAAAGCATTAATCAGTGGAAAAGACAATGATGCTAGGAAAGGTAGAGGTTAGTAGAAAGTGAAGAAGACCACATACTAGATGGCTGGATTCAATCAGAGTCTGTAGCACCTGAGCAGAGCAGTGGAGCATAGAGAGGCTTGGAGATGTCTCATCCACAAGGTTGCTATGAGTTGAAGTAGACTCAAGGGCAATTAACAACACTGGTTGTATAAATTGCCTAATTTTTTTTTTAAATCAGAGGCACAAAGAATGTGCCAGTATTAGAATAGCCACACATTTCTAAACTTCCTCATGTTCTGTATTCCGCTCAAAATATTTTTTTCCATTACAAAGCTAATGAGAACTATGGAGCCAGTATGCAAACATCCACCTATTTTCGGACAAGTAAAAGTAGAATATCACATATCTGAAACTGTAGTAGAAACACTTAGATGTCACATCCACAATCTATAAAATGTAGAAAGCACTCCTAGCATCAGATTATAGCACTGTCCAAGCTCAGGTCAGTATCTTTTAGTTGCTCCCTGAAATAAAACAAGTGGGGCTGTTTCAGTTCATTCGTTTAAATCCAGCCATTACTAAGGGTCTGAACAGACTGCCAGAAATAATCCAGTTTGAGTCCACTTTAACTGCCTTAGCTCAGTGCTAGAGAATCATGGAAACTGTAGTTTATTGTGGCAACAGAGCTCTCTGACAGAGAAGGTTCAATGTCTCAGAAAAAAATACAATTCCCATGATTCCCTAGCACTGAGCCAGGGCAGTTAAAGTGGTCTCAAGCTGGATTATTTCTGGCAGTCTATTGAGGCCCTAAATCTCCACAATATTGCTCCATATAAACCATCTTTTAAAATTCTTTACTTTGTTTCTGCTTCATTCCAAATTCCTTCTGTTGACAAAGACAGATTTGTTTTCCCAGTAAAAAATATACTATGTGTTGAAAGTGGGCAAAGATCTGAAGAAGAAAGTTGCAAGCAAAGTGAGGACCAGACAGTATTAGAAGACAGGGCTGAGAAACTGAGACTTGGGTCACTGTCTACATATACCAAATGGCCATGACACAGAAGTAATGTGGTTAGCGTCAGACTAGGGAGGCTGGAGGAGACTCAACTGATATTAATTCTTCCAGGAAGCAGAGTTACCTCAAGCAATCTTTCTGAAGTAAAAGAGTTAGGCCCTTTCAAGGGTGGTTGTTGTTAATTGTCATCAAGTCAGTTTCAATTTATGGTGACTCTAGAGATGAAAGACCTCTAATATTTCTTCCAAACTGCAGAACCAAAGCAGTTTCACAACACTTTAACTGTCATGGCTCCATCCTGTGGAATCCTGGGATTTGTAGTTTGTTGAGCTATTCAGCTCTGGTGCCTCACCAAACTACAAATATTATGAGTCTGTAAGAGAAGAGTCATGGCAGTTAAAGTGGTGTCTTACTGCAGTGTGGATACATGTTCTCCAGTGACATTTTATCATCAACAGCACTGCTCAGGTTTGCAAACATTGAGCTGTGGGTTCCTTAGTTGAGTCTTCCAGGATACTGTGAAAATAAAATGTTGCGAGGGAGGGGGAAACTATGTAGGCTGTCTTGAGCTGTTCACAGAAATGACAAAACATGACAATACCACATTTTTAATGTAATCCACAAGATCTCTACATTCAGAACAGCTTTTCTTACCACACAAAGATCTGGCTGTCTTTAGGCCTCACCAAATCCTTCTCATAACTGGTTGCAGATTTTAGTTAGAGCCAGAGTGGTGTAGTGGTTTGGGTGTTGGACTACAACTCTGAAACCAGGGTTCAATTTCCAGCTTGGCCATGAAACCCACTGGGTGATCGTGGGCAAGTCACACACTCTCAGCCTCATGGCCAAACCTCCTCTGAACCAATCTTGTCAAGAAAACCCCATGATAGGTTTGCCTTTAGTTTGCCATAAGTTGGAAATGACTTGAAGACACACAATACACACACACACACACACACAAAACCTCCTTGGAGTAACCCAGCCTCCCTTCATCTCTAGGGCCAGCTCATTGCTCCCAACTCTCAATATTCTTCCCAACCCCCACAGAAAGCTCCACTCCATTCTTTCACAGTCCCTCACCAAGGCTGTGGATGAGGAGGACTGAAAGGCAGCAAGTCCATCCCTTTGACCTGATGGGCCATGGCTAGCCCCCCCAGCCCAAGGGTGACCAGATGTCCTAACAACAAAGGAGGACAAGGCACAGCAAAATGGAGGACATTCAATAAAACACAGACAAAAGCTAAAAACACTCATATAAATATAGATTGATAGAATTGTAGAGTTGGAAGAACTACAACTCAAGGGCCACCCAGTCCAACCCCCTGCCATGCAGGAACTCAATCAAAACACACCCCACAGAGGGCTATCCAGCCTCTGTTCAAAGACCTCCAAAGAAGAGCCTTCACCAATCATGCTCAAAATGGAAGACATTTTGGATCCCCCCCCCTTCCTGGACAGAAGCCTGGAATGGAGGACACACCCTGGGGAAAAAGGAGGACCAGTCTGGCCCCCTTGCATATCAGTGTAAATCCATGCTTCTTAGCCCTGCTCAAAATGGAGGACATTTTTTTTGAACCCCTGTCCTGGACAGAAGCCTGGAATGGAGGACACGCCCTGGAAGAAAAGGAGGACCAAGTCTGCATCTCAATGTACTTCTTAGCCCTGCTTAAAATGGAGGACTCTGCTCTGAGGGGAGGGCGGTTCCTCTTACTTTGGTCCTTACCTCCACAGAGAGGGTCGAGGGTCGGGCTCTGAGGGGGCCACCGCCAGGGAGAAGAAGAAGAAAAAAAAGGAGGAGAAGAAGAAACCGTAATGAGTTTTCCAGCGGCGAGGCGGGAAGGGGCAGCCTCCGCAACCGGTGAACCTGCCTTAAACGGAGCCGGAGGGGCGCGCGGCCCAAGCCCCAACGGCTCCCCTGAGCAAAAGCGGCTCGCGCTCGCCTCAAACTTTGCCCCCGCTGCTGCTCCTCTTCCTCTTCTTCAGCCGGGTCCCCGCGCGCTCGCCTCAGGCCGCCATTTTGCCGCGGGGCATGGCGGGTAATCCGGCGGAATCCCCACGTACAGGCGTGGTTGCATCAGCACCCGAAAGGAAGCTGGAGGGGAGGCTGAAGGGGGGGGGAGGAGGAGGAGGAAGCGGCCGTTGGAGAGAGAGAGAAAGGAACGGGCGTCGGGCGGGTTGCCATGGCAACGGGAGGGGGGAGAAAATGGTGGGTGCTGCTAGGCAACCTCAGGAAATAAACATTTTTTCTTTATAATGAAGTGTGTGGGGGGGGAAACCCAGGTTGACTGTGTGGAAGGATGAGTTAAGAGACACAGAAAGACTTGGCAACCATCTAGTTTAATTCTATTTTAATGCCCACTTCTGTATGTGTTGTTTTTTTTAAAACTCAGAGGGTGACCAAATTTGGTCCTCCTTTTCCAGGACATGTCCTACATTTAATGCTCCTTCTGTCCAGGAGGGATTTCAAGATGTCCTCCATTTTGAGCAAGGCTAAGAAGCATGAAATTGCATTTCATATGCAGGGTGACCAGACTTGGTCCTCCTTTTCCAGAGCACGTCCTCCATTTCAGCCTTCTTCTGTTCAGGAGGAATCCCCAAAATGCCCTCCATTTTGAGCAGGACTAAGAAGCATGGATTTATATTTGTATTAATGTTTTTAGCTTTTATTTGGTGATGTCCTATATTTTTCTTGAATGCCCTACATTTTGCAGGGCCTTGTCCTCCTTTGCATTGAGGAGGACACCTGGTCACCCTGTTTTAACTCTTTTTTTTAATTTATAAGCTGCTGTGCTTTGTATTTTTGGGGGAAAGCAGGATGTAAACATAAATATTAGAATCATAGTATCAGAAGAGGACGTTATCACACGTGGCCCAGAAACTGAAAATAAAGTGGAAACGAGGCATCCCGAAAATAAACGGGAAATAAATCTTGTTTCTGCAAATGTCATTACCTTCATTGCGAATTTACAGCAACTGCATTGAACGTCCACACACAAGAGAAAAAACCTCGTAAATGTAGTCGAAATGAGCCTCCTGCACATGCGCAGACAGAGTAATGCTCGCGGGAACCATGGGTAATGACGGGGAAATGCTCCACAATACTTATTTGGTTATTAGACTAATGTTAAATGCGAAATGATTCTCATCGCGCAATTGCAATTCCTCAAGAAACCGAAATTCAAAAGATCTCGGTTCTTTCCACTTTCTGTCCACTTTCTGTCGGGGTTCTGTGCGACGTCGTGTGAAAACACGGGCAAATAATCCGGATTCGGGCGGGATTTCATTTGGATTCTGTTTGGATTGGGCCCCGTGTGATAACGTCCATATAGAGTTGGAAGAGACCACAAGGATCATCCAGCCCAACCCCATTCTGCCATGCAGGAACTCACAATCAAAGCATCCCCAATAGATGGCCATCTAGCCTCTGTTTAAAGACCTTCAGAGAAGGAGACTCCACCACTCTCTGAGAGAGATGATCCACTGTTTAACAGCCTTTACTGTCAGGATGTTCCTCCTAAAGTGGAGGTGGAATTTATTTTCCTGTATCTTGCATCCGTTGTTCCAGGTCCTGTTCTCTGGAGTGCAGAAAACAAGCTTGCTCCCTCCTCAATATGACATCCGTTCAAATAATTAAGCAGGGTTATCATATTACCTCTTAACCATCTCTTCTCCAGGCTAAACAT